CATCAGAGGTCTTCATGCAGCTATTCAAAACAGACGGCTGAACTTATTTCATTTAAAAGTGTTAAGTCATCTGTACTTTGGGGGTAGGGAATTGAGAACCAAGCTATGACTAGCAAAAATTTGAAAAAACAAATATAAATAGGTTATCCAGATTCTTAAAGCTTTTAGTTACCTTCCTTTTCTCAGCAGAAACGTTTTTTCTGTTTTTCGTAGAAAAGTGATGAAATGATAGTGTCCAAGAAAAAAATTTACTGCAGATCAGGCTGTATAAATAAAAAGGCTGTCTATAAATAGAAGGCTGTATCTGTCATACCCTGTAGAGTTCCCACTAGGAAACAAGGCAAGAAGGTACAACAAATGATAGTGGTAACCTTAAAATCTTAATTTGCTTTCTTTCACCTGAAATAACAAAACGAGTGAATATGGTATGAAAGTTAATTCTGTGTGACTTCAGAATTTTACTTTAGACACAAGTTCTGTTTGCATTTGCATCTTAACACATTGCATTCCAGGATGATGTATACTCATTACTCTGTTACAGTTGTTCGTCATCTTATTTTTGTGGTTTTGTTCCATAGTAACAAAGGTGAGTGGAGGTCATGTCACTCTGCTACACCAGCGTGGTGCAATGGGATCGAGCTTTCCAGATTTTGTGTTTGTAATGGCATTTTGTTCCATAGATGGCTCTCCACCTAGTTTGAGACAACTCACCACCAACAGCATAAAGTACAATTCCGTGTGTTGAGGGTCAGCATGGTGTAGTCCTCTAAAGAACTGCTTAAATGTAACGTGATATAGCAGGTGAAGTATAAGTTGTTAGTGAAGATTCTAAGATCAGTATTTTTTTTCCAGTCCTTGTGTGGAAAAAACTTGACAACTATTCTTAATGAATACGTAGCCATGAAAACAAAAGGTAAGCCTTCAGAATGAGATTTTATTTTATTTTTATTTTTTATCTGTTGTGAACTCCTTGAGGAAGAGGTAATATGTCCACCTATAGATGGACTTAGAGCAATCTTCCATCTATGCTAGAAGTTGAAGGTTTCCATATTGTGCAGACAACGGCCGGTTAGATCAGCATCTTGTGAGCAAAATTAATTGATTATCTTATTTTGGATTTGCGGCATATATTTTCACTTCCAATTTGAGCAGAACTTCTAATGTAATAAAGCACAAAGCTATAATAAAGTATGCAAAATGTATGGGTTTACGTGTATGGGTTTATGCTTGTAGAATTATACGGTTTATTGTTTATACTACAAATAGGAGGGGGAGGTGCTGATCTCCTCTCTCTGGTGACTGGCGACAAGACATGCGGAAATGGAATGAAGCGGTGGCAGGGGAAGTTCAGACTGGACATTAGGAAAAGGCTCTTCACTGAGAGGGTGGTCGGTCAACTGGAACAGGCTCCCCAGGGAACTGGTCACAGCACCAAGCTGGTCAGAGTTCAAGGAGCGTCTGGATGACGCTGTTGGTCATATGGTGTAGTTTTAGGTGGTCCTGTGAGGAGCAGGGAGTTGGACTTGATGGTCCTTATGGATCCCTTCCAACTTGAGATATTCTGTGATTCCATGAAATAACCAAGAGGAGTCCTATGCTATGAAATGCTTTTTGTTTTTAAAACTAGTTAAAATAATTTCAGAATAACTTAATATTTTGTATGAATATTAGGGAGAGAGAGCATTTCCTGTTTTGAAAAGCACGCACTGAGCTTCTGAATGTTGCCAAGGCTTACAGGTTTTTGATACGTGTTGTAGGATCAGAGTTTAGTGGTGCTTGGTTCCAAGACCTGCAATTTAAGACATACCATTTCTGAATGTTTTCTCCTTTTCACACTGCATTTAACAGAAGTGGTAACTGAGACACAAACATACTTTCTTCAAAATACTTTGTACTCTATACCTTGAAAAACTTTATAAATTGATCTGCTTACATCTTTTCATTTATACTTTAATGTTCTCTGCTGCGAAAATACCAAGTGTTTTTACCTGTTCAGGTGACATCTTAAAATAAACCATTACTTTTAAAGGCCTGTCTGCCAGGTTACAGTTTTCAAAAGCCCTCAGGTGGCTTGGGGAATATCAATAACGTTTCCCGAAGTGAGTTAGGTTAGGTTAGCATATGTTGGCCCGGGAGTCAACACCATGTGCAGATTCCATTGAGAATTACCATCATGGATGTCTTTTGCCTTGGTTTCCTTTATGTTTCTAAAACTGTGTGGTCATATCAAAGTTCTTAAATTAGGAGTTAGGGCGCTCTAATTAACAGAATATTAAGAAGGCAACTAGACACCTAAAGTTAGATGATGTTTAAAACACCCCATAGCAATTACTCTGCTTGAGGTTTTACTTTTTCTCAACCTGTATCTGCTTTAGGCATCTAAATTTTTTTTTTTTCTGGTTTATTTTAGAAACAACAAATGAAGTTCCAGCAATGATGTCATCTCTGTGGAAAAAATTAGACTATACACTTTCTCAGATCAGGTAATGTAGTTTTGAAATCAAGAAAGTAAAATTTCATTCTAAGAGTGAGTCCCTATGTTGATCAGCTTCCCTTATCATTGAGTGAGAATGGCTTTGCTCTCTATTGCCTCTGAGAGATGGTGAAAAAGATAGGTACATGAGAGCTGATAGTTGAGTAGACATTTCAAGACTTTAAGGCAGGACTAGCAAATAAGGAGGGCATTAGTGTGAGTGTGTGAGTATAGAAAACGATATCCTATGACTCATTTAGAATCCAATACCATTGTGGTTACTTGATCAAAAATATAACAGTAAGCTTCATTTGAAGGATCTGTAACCTTTGTTTGAAAGAATGAAAATAACAAGCAGTAGATTGGAGCTTTCTGAAGTAATTTGTGGCCGGGACCAGACTGATGTTAACCATACGATAGATACCGTCGTGCTGTGTAGCTGAATGTTTCCATTGTGCTCCTTTTATTTATGTCACCTGCTTTATTTTTTAGGAGCATGCAGAATTCCACTGGATTTTCTGCTAATCAGAGGAGTAAGTAATTAAGCCAATTCATGGAATCAATGGGCTTTATGTTCAAATTATCTCTTTTGGCAAAAAACAGGGGAATGCTGCAGCAATCAGTAACGCATGCTTACTCCTAAAATGTTGTCAAATCTCTTCTGCAGTGTTTTTTTTGGCATGTGTGTTGTCTTCAGTGCAGTCTGTGGAGTACTGTAATGATCAAGAAAAGAAAATACAAGCTGAGCTTTTTTGCAAGGGGCTTGATTTCTCTATGTAGCATTTTCTTCTCTGCCAAAAACTTCTTAGCGGTTACATGGTTCAAAAATTTAAAAACTGCTGCTTAGGTCCTGAAGCTGTTGACTTAATTTGTGGTTCATAGAGGAGCTGAAAGCATAACCAGTCTGATTATGATGCCGTTTCATTTCTGTAGAACGGAAATATAAAAGGGTATTACAATCTTGAAACAGTTATTTTTTTGTGCGTACAAACATATATCTGAGCAAAATAGGAAAAGATACTTGTTCTGTCTAGGATTGTTTTTTTAATTACAAAAGCTGCCAAATGAACTCTCAAAAAAGAAAAGTTCTTTTACTTAAGAATAATTTTCCTCTCTGTAGTACTTCTGCCTAGTAACCCGTGTGAGAAAAGAGAACGTGAAATATAGGTAGCGATTGTTCTTGGATCTGAGATTCACTGGATTGGGTAGTATTCTGTTGTTTAAATTTGTCAGACTTTGATAAATAAATGCAAACTTACATTGGTTTAGCTATTTCAGTTAAGGTCAATTAGTGGTATATTATGTAGTGAAATATTTTGATATGATTTATTACTGTAAATATTTACGCAGTGATACAAGCATGGTTACAATGTCTGTGTGAGTTGGCTGTACTTGAATTATTTTGGCTCAAACCTGTTACATGGAAGACAAGGATGAGTGTTGCTTGCTTTTTGAATTTCATTAATTAGTTGTTGAAGCACAAAAAAGTTTCAGTGGAACATCCTTAATTAGGTTTTGGAGAATCAGCAGCCTTTTAAAATTCCTTTATCATATATTTTCATCATGTCTTTATTATCTCCAGCACGTACAAGAAGTGGAATTGTAGAAATGAAAAGACAGAGAATGCTTCAGCAATCGGCTCCTGCAAACTCAGGGCTGTTGTCAGTAGCCCAGCAGTCAGGGCCACAGAATTCCTCTTCTATTGTATCTCCTCAAGTTATTCACAGGCCAACAATAAATCAGAGCGTGTCACAGACGAGACTGAATACATTGTTTGTGCACCAGTCACAAACCCAAGAAAACAAGATTGGCAGTAAGTTGCACACTTTTTTAAACCTTTTTTTCTGTGAAAAATCTATGGATATAGATGAGTTTTCTAAAAAGCAGGGCTAATCGTCTTCCGCCAAAAAAAGTTTCAGAAAGTTCATGCTTTGTTCCTCTAGCTGTCAAAACTGATTCAGATGATTAAAATAAAAGGAGTGCCCGAAAGAGAAATGGCTCTTGCATACTTGCTTGCTAATGTGAGTTCAGAGATCAGAAGTGCATTAATTGTTTTGTCCATTATTCTATCCTGTGATCTCACCCTTGCCCAAAACAGTTTTAGCAGATAAGGATGATCCACATCAAGTGCATGTTTTTCTCAGGATGTATTTAAAAGGAATGGTTCACATTTTCATGATAATACCAAATTATTTTGTATTAATTCAGAGGAATTGATTGGAAACTAATCAGTAATGTGTAGATTTCTGTAGTGCTTTAACAATGTCGCTGGAAAAGGTACTGGCGTCCTGATCTGGGTGGTTTTGGGTTTTTTTGTTTTTTGGTTTTTTTTTTTTCCTTTCTCAAGCAGGAGATTTCATACACATTCAAGTTCCAGCATCACAAGAACGAAAGCTTCATTCAAACTTGCTTTCTCCAGGAAGACGGAAAAGGTAAACGTGTTAGGGGGTGGTGGTGTTGGGGTTTTTTTAGATCATTTAGAGTTTATGCGGTGTTCTGACCTCTAGTGTAAATTTTCTTGGATGCTGGAGTGTTTCACATTTAAGATCCACTGAGAGTGGCCAGTGTGTGATGTTTCACAAAGGAAAGGAAAGTCAAAGAACTCAACACGAGACTGATAGGAGGCTCCTTGTACTTCTTTATTACATATAGCTGGTCTTTACATTAGTCCAGTATTAGACACAGGCAGATAATCTTGGAGCCTGAGATTTAGTATTTCATCCAAGGTATCCTTATCAATTATGAAAAATCAATATTGATATAAATGTGCATTTTTGTCTGGTTTAAATGTAGAAAAACTACTGGCTTCATTAAATTTTGTCAGCGAAATTTTTCATATTCACGTTAAAAGTGGAGTGAAAAACTGTTCTTAGACTAGTTGTGCATTTTTTTATTCTTTGATTCCGATGTCTTTCTGTTTTTAATGAGTTGACTGGTCTCTTTATGTTCCATTTGTTGTCTTTATCCCTGGCTAAATTCCAGCCGGTGGTTTTGCTTATCATTTTTCCAGATCCTCAATCATTTATACCTCTTCCAAGCTCTCTTTATTCGTGCATGATTTTTTTTGTTTATAAGTGATTTCAGTGCCACTGCTGATTGATGGTTTCAGAAGAGCGTACGCCATGATTTCATAGAAAGGCATTACATTTCCTATTCATCATTTAAATTCTTATGCAACCTAACATTTGTTTCCTTCTTTGACAACAGCTGCTCCTTGAGAGAGCTTGTTTTTAGTGGTGGTGCACAAATCTTTTTCTTTAATTAGAACCTGTACCACCAGTTAAAGTAACATGTACTGGGGGAGGGGGGGGGGATGTTGGGGAATACTGAATAGTGAACATGGAATTCAATTTGCCATTGCGCTGTTTCTAACTTTTACGAAGTCAGACACAATGTTTGCGTATGACATAATGAAACAGGTATTGGCTTTTATTGTATTTCCAGTATGTAGTTAATTTTCTGTTGATTAAAATCTTTTGTTTGCTAGGGAGGAAGAGAAACACTTGATTTACTGACTATTAGGTCTATTGTTTGCTATGTTCTCACAAAATATGTGATAAATTTCCTGGAATGTTTCAGTGAATCTCAGAAGAGGAAAAGCATTGCAGCATCTGGGCTTCTTCCAGCAACTAGAAATTCTCAAGACCCTGATGAAGTAATAGTAGAAAAAGAAAGTGAGCCACTTGAAGAATTCATAGATGGTAACTTCCCAGTGAGTATATACTTATGGAAGGTATTTTGCAGAATCACAGAAGGGCAGGAGTTGGAAGGGACCTCTGGAGATCATCTAGTCCAACCCCCTGCTAAAGCAGGTTCACCTACAGCAGGTCACACAGGGCAGCATCCGGGCAGGTTTGGAATATCTCCAGGGAAGGAGACTCCACACCCTCCCTGGGCAGCCTGTTCCAGTGCTCTGTCACCCTGGTGGAACTTCCTATGCTCCAGTTTGTGCCCGTTGCCCCTTGTCCTGTCACTGGGCACCACTGAAAAGCGTCTGGCCCTGTCCTCTTGTCACCTGCCCTTTAGATGTTTGGAAGTGTTGATAAGGTCCCCTCTCAGTTTTCTCTTCTCCAGGCTAAAGAGCCCCAGGTCTCTCAGCCTTTCCTTGTAAGAGAGATGCTCCCATCCTCTGATAACCTTCGTAGCCCTCCGCTGGACTCTCTCCAGTGGTTCCCTGTCCCTCTTGAACTGGGGACCCCGGAACTGGACACAGTACTCCAGGTGTGGCCTCACCAGGGCAGAGTAGAGGGGGAGAGTGACCTCCCTCGACCTGCTGGCCACACTCTTAATTTTTCTTGTTTACATTTAAGAAACAAATTCCGATTAAGGAGAACTAGTCTTTTACATGTTGTTTGTCTTAGGAATTAACTTTAGAAGATAAACTTATTGTTTTGTATTTGAACTAGCTCTTCTGTGTACTAACTAGTGAGGATAGCATGACTATGTAAAGGGTTTTTTTCCTTTATTTTCCTTGCATTTTGATTTCATTTGCTAACATAGGTGTAAGCTGTCAGAATACAGTAATTTTTTTGGAAAATGAAAATTAGAAAGCACAATAAGCCTTGCTGTACTTTAGGAGAGTAGAAGTACAGGAATGTTTTGGGATTTTTTTCATAGCAACGTCATGCAGTCAGATTGACTGTCTCTGTATAAAGAGTGTTCTCTGTATTGAATTGATTTTTTGTTTGTTTGTTTTACCAGTAAGTTGGAAATTCATTCTTCTTTTCTAGTGATGATAAAAATAGAAACCTGACCACTTTAAAACTGTGTTTTCCAGCAACTGGTTATTGAAAATGCCAGAGAAAAAATCTTGAGCAACAAATCTCTTCAGGAGAAGCTTGCTGAGAATATTAACAAAATCCTGGGCAGGTAATGAAAGTAATCTCTAAACTTCATATGTATTCTTATTTGGTTTATTTTTGAGTTCTGAACTAGTGACTAATGTGTTCCAGTGATGGCAATGTCACTCAGGCCCCTAAACAGACAGACAGTGGTCCCACGGAACAGGAGACTTCAATTGATGAAATCCTTGGACTTCAGGTAGGTGTGGATTGCTCTCTTTATGTGTTTTTGAAGACCACACGTGGGAGTGGTCAGTTATGGAAACTGTGCTGAACCTCTGACTACTGTCTGATATCTAAGATTGCTTTCCTCTTTCTCTTTCTTTTTATTTGTTTGTTTGTTTTCCAGTACAACTAAGCCTGTCTAATGGCTGAGATCACAGCCACAGACTGAGATCTAAGTATCCCACAGGCACTCGCTGCCTGCTTGTCACTGGCTCTTTGGTACCTGTAATTTGGTACCAGCTTCTGACTGGGCATCTGATCAACAGCCTCGTAAAGAAAAAAGGAATTTAAAACATCTTGTGGTCTCCAAACATGTTTAGTCTGATCTGGTTTTCTGATTTGCTGTAAGATAAACATGGATTGTCTAGTATAGCAAGAGAAATTGTCTTTGGAGCCTAAATAAGGATGCTTTTTCTTCAAGTTTAATATTTTCTTGGTTTTGGAGGAAATGTACCTTCTACTTGTACAAACTAAATTTATAGTGTTCTCCCTTCATTCTCCTACAACCTCGAGCTGGAATCACAGAGTTATAAAGGGCTCTTAATGAGGGAATTACAGTCTTCATGGCACTCGTGAAAAGGGCAGGAGAGTAGAGGCAGTTGCCTGTTCATGAAGTAGAGGTGTGTGTTTTATCAAGCCATTCTTCTGTCACTTGGTGATTTTTAGGTCAATTTTCATCAAAATACGGAGCTGGAAAGCTGTATTCCATGTTTCTGAGTAGAACAAAATCAAAGCTGCTTCTTGGTTTAGTTAGAGTAGCTGAGACAAAATAAGCATATCACACGGGATATCCACCCTTAACAACCACCATATTAAAAGCTGTAGTGTGCTTAGAGGATCTCCAGGAAGTCAGGAGAAACTTATGTGTTTGAACGCTTGAATATGTTACAGAATGCCCTGTTCGTTTTCTTCCTGGGCTGCTACCAACCAAGTCAGCTTGAAACAGGAGCCTTAGAGCAGTGTCCTGTGCAGCTCTGCCTTCCAGTGAAAAGAAGATGAAAATTATGTTATAGAACATGCAATGGGTAAATGAAATAAAACTTCCCTTTGCATAGTGCTGTCTTCTAGATAGATGCAAACCCAAGAAGTTAGGGTTAATTTGGGGAT